AGCATATAAATGGGGCAACAGAGTAGCTGATTAAAGTGTTGTTTTGTCTCCCTCAATGGAGACGTGAACAGTGTAAGTGTTAATCCACAGACAGTGAATTCGGTCTGATGATTCTCTTACGCTTATTTCATGCTACAGAAAAAGACATAAATCCATTTTGTCTAAGTCCTAAATAACACAACAGGCTAGACTCGCTTCCTTTGAAGCGGCAACTAGTCTAGGAGAAGGAAAACTGAATACTAAACCACAAATAGACCCCTTCAGTTTATCTTGCCCAAGAAGTACACGCAGTTCTCTTGTTACTCTAGTAAGTTACAAAAATTGTATCATTATGAATCTGGTGGCATAATAATTGGGAGTTCAATCTTGGAGCCGGGTAGTGCAGACCCAGCCTCAGTGAAAATAGGGTGAACACTAACTGAGCAGTATTAAAAAGAAAAGAAGACGAGATCTCATTAGAAAGGAATAGACTGGTGAGAACAATCTAATTCCTGTGGATCATATAAAGTCTTGGAATTCCTTGGCGGTTAGCCAAGACACGTAAATAACACAGGAGAGCCCAACAGCCAAAACGTTGGCATAATAATACAAATATAACAACTCTACAAAATACTTTTAAAAAACATAAAAAATTCTGAAAGTATATAATTCATATTAAATACTGGTTACCTAGTAATTCTCTCTTATTCGGTATTAGATTTATCGATTATAAAGCCAAGTGCAAAAGTGCGTTTTAGTAGCTTACCTTTAGGGCTGTCCGGTTGCTTTCAGTTGGTATTAGCATTATTTACCACACACACACACACACACACGTATATATATATATATATATATATATATATATATATATATATATATATATATATATGTACTCGCGTATCATATGACCTTTGACAACCTAATATTGAAGGTAATTTTGAGGGGTCACATCATACACGAGATATAAAATTAGCTAATGTACTGCTGGCCCTGGCTATGCCGTTAGCCAAACTTTATATCCATTTTCTGTAGTCAAATTAGCTTCATAATTAGGTATTCAGAATAGTATGATATGCGAATATATATATATATATATATATATATATATATATATATATATATATATATATATATATGTGTGTGTGTGTGTGTGTGTGTGTGTGTGTGTGACTTTATATTTGGGCAGCAATAACTTTCATACAAATTTCGTTAAAGACGACTGACAAGGTACTGCGATTAAGCTTTTTATTTAATTTTTCTTGTGTTTTCTAGGCATGAAGTGTGTAAAAAATATTCCAACGATTCAGTAGATTGTGACCGTGTTGGTGTTATGAACACGGCCACAATGTGCTGACCGTGTTTGGAAGATAATGAAACATTTACATTACTCTCGAAACAAATCTATTAAAAATAAAATCTAGACATTCAGTTAAAAAATTTAAAAAATTACATAACAACCTTGATAATGGCTAATAGAATAGCCAAAAGAGCTCGGATATACAGAAAATTTGAACAATTTTTACACACTTCAGCTCCAGAAAAGACAACAATATATTTTCAGTTGTGCTTAATGAAATATATATATATATATATATATATATATATATATATATATATATATATATATATATATATATATATATTCAATAGAAAAAACAGCTGGTAAAAATCTACCCATACATGACACAGAAACAGAAATTATAGTTAGATAAAAAACACACACAATCTTGTGGACGTCTTACGGAGGAAATAGACGCCCAGATAAAGTGATTATAGTTCAGATGACTATCACCTCAAATATACCAGACTTTGTATTGTGGGACCGATGGTTGGCAACCCATGATTTAATCAGAGGAAATCCTGTATTTTAAAATAAAGGTTTCTCTGTAATAAAAAAATACACTGAGCTCTTTTTTTGCGAATCAGTTTTAATATATATATATATATATATATATATATATATATATATATATATATATATATATATAATGATAATAAGTAGACGGATATATAATTATAATAAGAAGACTTATTTAATGCTCTGTAGTCTACATTGAGCTCTCTCTGGATTTATATCTGTTGTGTATGATACACCTAATTTACATAAGCGGACTACCGACCATATAAATATGGGTTGGTACCGGAAGACGGGGAAGATAGTAGAGATTAAGAAATTGAATCCAGAGACTCTGCCCGACTGCGATTTAGTCAACCCATTATGCAGGAACAGTCTTCCCAAGAATATACCAAACTAACTGTAAATATTGTGTACCTATTCTTTGTTTCAATACATTTTGTTAACGTACATTTTGTGTTGTATTATTCCATGCTTATTTAAGCTTCAACAATATCCTCCTCGAATACATACATATATATATATATATATATATATATATATATATATATATATATATATATATATACGCTCATACGCACACACACACATATATATATATATATATATATATGTGTGTGTGTGTGTGTAATGTATTTTGAATGTATTATGCCAAATAAATCAAATTCTTGACTTAAAAGATTATCTTCCAAAAACACTTCATATATACAGGATGTCTGAAGTTAGTATGCAAATTACATAAATCTCGATCCCTCGAACTTGCTTCGAACAATTTTTGGCAAATTTTAAGCGATTAATTTAGACGTCAAAACAAAGCTTGAGTTAAATTTTTTGGAAGTTTCAAAATATAACTTTTGAAGCTATTGAATTATAAACCTGTTGTCTGAAGTTATGAAAAATTAAATATTAATTTAAGGCCTCTGAAATCTTATCAAATCCATTTTTTCCATAATCCATGTTCAAAACATCGATAATGGAAAGGTTGGTTGTTTTGTTTCATGGCATATCAAACTGAGTGGATCATTTAATGCCAACAAAATTTTTGAAATAGATTCATAGTAATAGTTTGGTTCGGTTGGTTTATTTTGTTTTAAAGCATATCAACCTCAATAGTTTATTTAATGCCGACAAAATTTGTATTGCTGGTAATATTTTTTTCCCAAAATATATTCCTGGTAATATATTTTTCCTTCCAAAATGTATAGCTGGTAATTATTTTTTTCACAAATGTATAACTGGTATCTTTTTTTTTTCTTTCCAAAAATATATTGCTGGAAATATTTTTTTTTAAAAATTTATTGCTGGTAATAATATTTCTGATATTAAACCCTATTTTTACACTTTTATAATGTTTTGGCACCATTTTGTAGGTTAACTGTTTGCCCATAGCTGGAGCCCTAACAGGTGCTACCACCCCGGGGGAAGGTGGACCTAGAAACACCAGCAATTAATAGATATAACTATAAACTAAGGAAAAGGATTTAATAGTTTCAGGAATTCAGAAAGTAATTGTTTCCTTCTGCTTTGTTTTATCTTCGCAAAATCTGATTAGACCAAAAATAGATTTTTTCCTCCCAAACAAGACAAGTAAAAACTTTCTTAAGGTCACTAAGATGCAAGGACTTAGTGAGTATAAGTGAAAATGAGAAAAATACTATTAAGGAGAGAGAAGAATAAAAGAAGAATTAACAAGACAGAAGATAACGATTAATATTACATTTAAAGATCCAAGTTGACTGGAAAGTAAGAGGCCAGAATAGGAGTTCCATAAAAGAGAAATGCGATAGAAGAAACTGTTAGGATAGAACTTACGGTTACTTCGAGCCAATTAAATAGTAAAATGCTGAGACCTTACCGCCAATCTAGTAATACACGTAAATTCATAAAGTGTAAGTGCCATAAAAGTTCATCAGAAAAATTACCATAAAAGAATTTATCTAAAAGGCACAGTCAAGCTATATTACAGCGGTGACAAAGTGACTGAAGCCGTGATGCCAAGTCAGGACCAATAATATTTTAGATTGTTCTTTGGATTATGCATCAATAATCTCTAGATATATAGCAGGAGCATCAGAACAGATGTGTCAGCAGTATTCAAAGCCAGAGTGTATTTGCTGCCATATCTGGGTAAGAGAGTTCAGTAGTCACTTTCAAACCTGAATGGAATTCGAAATCGTTGACACGCTCTTGTAGTGAAAAAGCATACACTTCACTCTACCCTTTCTTTCCCACAGATGCAACGTCGAAAGCCTATCGTTAAGCTGTCATGATTTCCAATGATAAATGTTCAGATGAGCCCCATTATATTTTATCTTAATTCATCATACCTTTACATCCCTGAAAAAAACGTGCTACTTTAACATATGCCACAAAAGCTCCTGAGCCATCCAAGCATAGAAATGAATACAATATGGTAACCAAAATGGTAAGGAGTGCCAGAGAAAAATCATATAAACTACAAAAATTGCAATATGATCTCTGGTAAAAACATGCAATGATAACAGCAAAAATGGCAATGGGACTACTGGTAAAAAATGATTGCTGAAGATATCAGGTTTATAATAGCCAGAAATTCACACACAGATGTCCTCAAGCACACATGGCACAGTGGATAAAAGCGTTAGTTAGTGACAGGACCCAAAGAGTGTGAGTTCGATACCCGGTTAAGACAGTAGAGAACTTTCACATGGAAATTAACAGGAGATAACTGATAACTGACACCCATTAAACATTGCACGTGGATCTAGAACAGTCTACACCAACGAGCGAATAAAGGGGGAGTTCGACATTCCAACCACCTGAAGAGGGCCGAGAACGAAATAAATATGGCGACAAAGAGGAGGACAATAGTCCAAATACTGTACATAATACCTCATCTCAGAAATATAGACAGATATTTTAACAGAGTCAAATCACCCTAATCTCCCCAGTATTCCAAATGTAAGAACTTAATACTCAGAGAAGTTTTTTTTTGAATGCCACTTTGAGTAAAAAGAACTCCCGCGTGGATGCTTACATTTTTAACCTCTTCGTGTCAAGAGTCGGTTTTTATCTATCCTCATTATTCTCGTAATCTTCACATTTACCCATTCATATCAAACAATGTCATTGATCATAAACAGTTTTGTGCTTTTTACTGGGTAAACTTTAGTAATACAAACGTATTCGGCTATAATACGTTGAAACACTGGTTCCCGTACGATCACTGTAGTTAAGCAACGTTGAGCCTGTTCAGTGCGTAGATGAGTGACCGCTTGGGAATACAACGAGCTGTAAAGGAGCGGTATTTTAATGGATCGGAGAACCCAGTTCCAATTCTAGTTGGATTCGTTATATTTACGTGCGCATATAACCTTGGCAAAGTTATGAATCCACACTTTCCCCTCATATGGGTTAATTAGTAAGACTAATATAACTAAAACATTATTATCTCCCCCCCCCGAAAAAATTATTACAATCTAAAAATATTTTCTGACTCGCAGAAAACAAATCAGTAAATCAGTCAGTCAAATTAATAATGGCCATAATTTACATAATAATAAACGTTCATGTGGTTCTTTGTAATTGACTAGGTCTATGCGAATCCCTCCGCCCCCACATATAGGTTAATTAGTAAGAAATTTATCACTGAAACATTATTATCTCAAAAGAAATAATTACAATCTAAAAATATTGCTGGGCTTTAAATAGCCTGCAAAGTGATAATAAGCTGTAGAAAATGATGTGATCAATAAAACAACAAAAAAAAATCTGATTAGCTACACAGACATGTCTTTTAGATTTATTTACATTCTATGGAACATAAATGTATAGAAATTAACACGTCTACAAAGTGAGGGATCATTTTATATATTGATTGTAATATAGATTTGATCCCCCCATTTTATTTTGTTTCTTTATCAAATCACACCGTCTCACCAAGCTATGGGTTAATTAGTAAGACTTGTATGACTGAATTATTATAATCTCCCCCCCACAAAAAATTCTCAATTAAAAAAAAAATTTTTCTGGCTTTAAATAACCTGCAAGCCAAACAAAATAAATCGATCAGGCAATCAATCAATCCAATAATGGCCATAATTTCCATAATATGTCACCCTTTGATTCTGAAACAGTATAATAAAAGTTCATGTGGTTCTTTGTATTTGGTGAATATGTACACCTATCTGTCGCCGGCACATTTAATGAATGTGGATATTTACAGGCATGTGTCCATTTTTCTTTTGGGATCGTCCGGTCACTAAATGCCCATAAAAATGAATCAAACATGTATCCAAATCGCTCCTAAACATATAAATACATTTTTATTGGTTTTGTCGGCTATTTGGAAAATCATTTTCATGATTCTATTGTATTTTATTAGTTTCTCATTAATTTATTGTTTTTCATATCAGTTAATACATGTGTGCAAGAGATGGGGGTGTAATTTTAACATTATCGATTCATGTGGCTCGGTTCCCACCAGCAAAATAAAATTCATCGAAGGGCAAGTTTTTGTTGCTATAAAAATATTGTAATGATTTCGTTAGTCATTTCAAATAATCTTTTTTTTTTTGACAGAAGATCGGGACATGAGACTGAACAACTGGCAAGAAACGACGCTACAGAAAACACATTAAAACTTTCACGAGATTCTCATTCTATCTGACATATTAAGAATCCCAGAATGACCTCAAGTAATATATATATATATATATATATATATATATATATATATATATATATATATGTGTGTGTGTGTGTGTGTGTGTGTGAAAAGTGTGTGTATATCAACATATATATATATATATATATATAAAAATACATTTATGTTTATACATTCTTTTATAGATACAAATATTTAAGTAAATGCTTTGTATTATAATAAACAGTATTAAACAACATTTACCGGCCTGAATGTCCGAGAAATTTTCATAGAAAATCTTCGTCCTCTGACAGGAATCGAACCTGTACCCTATACGGAATCGTCGTATAGCCTGACGTGCCATAACCGTTTCGGACACAGAGGAGGGTTCGTTTACCAAGGTTGATTTTACTGTCTTTAAACTTTATCTATTTTTCTATGAAAATTTCTCGGACATTCAGGCCGGTAAATATTGTTTAACACTGTTTTTATAAAAACAGAACATTTACTTAAATATTTGTATCTATAAAAAGAATGTATAAACATAAAATTGTCTTAAAAATAATTGTCGGAATATGTACATTTCATAATGTGTGACGTCATATATATATATATATATATATATATATATAATATTATATATATTATTATTATTTAGAGGAAAAATAGAAAAATGGTCTGATTGTTGACATGTATACCTTCACGAGACATTTACGAGAAATTTCTTCTACACTTCCGTTCTTTGAATTTCAACATACAAATGCGTATGTATATAGACAACAGCACACATATAGATACATATGTCAAGTCCCATACTGTCCACATATGTTTATGTCTGTATGAGCCCAGACGGAGCCTCGAGTGTGTATGTGTGCCTGCGTACCTCAACGGGTGTACGGACATGCATCTATGTTTGCGTTAGCCTGAGTGACATCACGACGATAACCCCCCCCCACTTCGATAATAACACCAATACACGCAATCTACATAAATCTAAAATTTAAAAAAATTAATCATTTTGTCTGACGATCGCAAATGCCTGAAACCCAGGGTCACAAACTCACATCAATCCAACCAAATATATATATATATATATATATATATATATATATATATATAATTTGTTTTGCTATATTAATAAAATTAAATAGCCAAAAAGAAACACCACCGGATAATAGTGTATTCTCTTATTTTCTATTTAATAAATTATAGGATATATTCCAAGAAACAAACACTGCATTCATTTTCGCACTAAAATATTGACAAAACATAGATGCATTCCTTCAACCCCTAGCTATGGATGAAATGACAGAGGAAAATTGGATTCCCCTTGAATATTATCTTTGAAGAAGGTAAAACGGGGCGTAGAATTAATTTCAGCTCGGAATTAATTTCAACTCGGAACCAATTTCAACTCGAATCTAATTTCAACTCATAACTTAGGGTTGGGGATAGGGTTACGGTTTTTAAATCAAGTTGCAATTAGTTCCGAGTTGAAATTAATTCTGAGTCGAAATTCCGAGTTGAAAATAGTTCAAAGTATAGAGAACGCAACGTGAGGATAACTACAAAATAGTCGTGGAAATGTACAAATTAAAAAAAATCTGATCATTGATTTTGTTTAGCGGCATATAGACCTCTATGGGTCATTTTATGCTGAAATCTAAATATATTTGTACTTTCAGGGTAAACCTATGTCTTTTAGATCTTTGGTAACAGAGAAAAAAGTAATGAGCTGCTACGTGATATCTGTCCTCCTTTACGGCAGCGAATATTAGACGGTCTCCTCAACGTTGGAGAAGAGACTCGAGGCGACGGAGATGTTGTTCTACAGAAGGATGCTGAGGATATCATAGACCGACCGTGTGAGCAACGATGAAGTTTTGGAGAGGATGCAAACAAGGAGGAAACATACTTAACATCAGGAAAAGGCAGCTGAAATTACTGGGACACGTACTGAGAAAGGAGGGCCTGGAGAATCTGATACTCACAGGTCGAATAGAAGGAAAGAGAGACAAGGCGATACAATGCATGATATACTTAGCGGACTTAAGCAGAACTTGGACTAGGGTGGCAGCAGAGGGACGAAATTTATTGAGAGCTCTATTGGATAGGGGGAAGTGGAGAGCCATGATCGCCTACGTCCTGAAGGGACACGACAGATAAAAAGGTTTGTAGATGATAGAATGTATTGTTGGTAATCTTTTTAAATGTATTGCTATTAATTTCGCTACAAAAGAATACAGTTGGTAATTTTTTTATAAAAATGTGTTTTTATACTTTATTTGCCGTCTTTCTATAAAAATGCATTGTTGGTAATTTTATTATAAAAAAAAAAATACTGTTGATTTTATTTTACTATACGTTAACTATTTACTACTACCCCGGGTCAGGGTGGATATTGCAAAAACAGCAATTAGGTGGTTCTTCCACATGTCCTTAAAGCCTCTTATCTTAGGATCAGGGGCCTTGCTACCGTGGGTAGTTTATTTTTATACCCAGGACGAAAAAGAATGTGCAGACAGACATGATTGTATACATCCTAAAGGAAGATGGCATTTTAAAAATATTAGACACCAGAGATGCAAAATTTAAAATTATTTTTCTTTCACATTCCAACTGTTCCACTTGATGCTAATCCTTCCTGACAATAGGTTAAATATTTTTTTTTAATTTCTACTAAAGAAATAGTTATTGGAAAGTGTATTAATATAAATCCTCATGCAACTATTCACTTCACTACATGTCGTGATATGTGAGAGACAAAATCTCATTGATAATTAGTTGCGGGGGAGAGCGTAGGGAAGAATTGATTCATGCCTTTATCAAGCATAACATTACTAAAAGTAAACATGCGCAGATGCAAACAAAAATTCAAAAGAAGTTTTTTCACAAATACTCCGTTCTATATATATATATATATATATATATATATATATATATATATATATATATATATATATATATATTCGTGTTCGTAATCTGCGACTGTTATTTACAACACATACACGTATCTATCTATCTATCTATCTATCTATCTATCTCTATGTATATATATATATATATATATATATGTGCGTGTGTGTGTGTGTGTGTGTGTTGTAAATAACTGTCACAGATTACGAAGACAATGTAGTGTCAATAGCTGTCGTAGATTACCAACGTGCACATATATGTGTTTATATGTGTGAGTATCTGTGTGTGAGTGCAGCCACAATATTCCAAAAATCTAAATAGTATATATATATATATATATATATATATATATATATATATATACATACATACATGGCCTTGATTTAAGACATCTGATTGATGTCAATTTAGTCGGGTTTTCGAGCCCGACTTAAAGAAATCAGACGTCTACCGCACTAAAGAGCTGTGATACAGCGAAACAGTCTGTCTGTGGATGACTGTATCTCACCAGAAAAGTTACTTCTTAATGTTATTCGAAAGCCGTCAATGTGTGTCCAAGAAGTTCCAAAACATCGTGTTGGAGGTTTTGAGCGTACTAGACTTGTTTAAACTGTTCATCATATAGGTATAGTTTCTGTAAAAATATTCGCTCAGCATAGATGAAATATAAACAGCAGTTGTGCAAGACTTTACCTTTAGCCGCCCTGAAATAAGTAAACGGCTTTTACATACAGT